AACCTGTAGAGTGTTGAATAATAAACATCTGCATCAAAGTAAGGCTACTGATTTGATAAAAGATAAAAATGCATCAAAGCTGTGCTTGTAAAAAATCCAACACTACTAAGACAGCTGGTGATTCCTTGCACCGCACAAGGGTGCCCYTTTTTCACTTGAGCCCCTGTCCTCCAAAATGTCTGTGCAGGCCACTGTGTGCAACATTCATTTAAATGCCAAGTTSTTTACAATATTTTGACTTGTGCATATTTGAATTAACACAAGTTACAAAGTCCATAAGAAATACCTACAACCTTTGTTACCTGTGTGGCTGCAGGTGCTGCTCTCACACATTGGTTGAGTATTTTACCAAACGGAGTCCTATCAACATCAGGGTGAGCCTAGGCCAAAATAGCAAATAAAATGTAAGCTCTTATTTTTTTTTTTTTTTACAAAAAAAGAAGATAAATAAACCCACTTTTACCTTCCTGGACAAAACAAAAACAGGAGAAAATTGTCTTAAAATAAATGGCAGCTCACTGCTACACACTCTTCACAAAATTATCTACAAATGAACTAGTGGCCGACACAGCAGGTCAGGCTTGTTGAAATGTGCAAATGGAATGGCTGTGATCCCTTAAACTGCATTTCCTTCGGGCTGACTTTGGTGACCTTGTTGAATACCTTTAGTTATGTTGCCTATGAGTAAGAATAGAGTGTTAGTGAACATCTGTCTCTCTTGTTCCTTTGGCTTATAAGACACTGCTGACTCTCGCTAAAACTGTAGTTTAATGTGACTTTATGATTACTGCATGAATCAGTCAAAACTGACTTCACACACTGTCTTCTGTCTTTGACTAAAASATACTTCTCATGAGAACTTTTATTCCTAGATGTGTTTCAAAGGTCTGGCTCCCTACTCATTGTCCTTCAACTTGAACAAATCTAGGTGTGTGTTTAGCGGTGTAGCCCTATATTTCTGCCTCCTTAGTATCTCTCCCCGCCTTCCTCATACCTTGTCATCTGGCAAGGCTAACCCCTGGTAGCTCCCCCACCAAATGCACACACATACACATGTGAATCCCCGCCAAATGCCCGCCCTTCCAGGCCCCGCACACGCCAGCCGGTGTCAGCAAATCAGCTGAACCGTCTCCGCCCTGAGAATAACCCCATGACAGACAGCCCGAGTGGCCTCCCCTTGTCAACGCAGCCTGCCTGGAAAGCTGACAGCCGGGGCACAAGGTGGACAGGCTACTGTAGCAAGGAGTTTTCACTGGGCAAGACCTGAAGTGGATATAGGCCTTAGGGTAAAAACAGGAAAGGGAATGGCATTATCCATAGTGATAAGGTGCAAAATGAAACTTGTTAAGCAGGAACCAAGATACAAGGCTAATCATACAGGTGGAACAAGACGTGTAATGGGAATAGTTGATGTTTAACATTAAACCTCCTTTAAATGTGAAGGTGATCATATAGATTGGGTCCAGGAGTGTAATCCTAAACTAAGGATTGTGATTTCAGAGGTCAGGTCCTGTCAAGGTTACTGCAGCTTTGCCTCTACAGTACCTAGCTGGCAGAGTCTAGTGGTCAATCCCTGCAGAGCAAAGAATGAAAGGTTTGGTTTGGCTTTCAGCCCACTGATTGTAATTTTTTTTGTCCTCTCCAAAGAAAAATACCTGATACCAATTTATAATAACGCTCCCTTTTAAGTTTATAGATAGGTTATTCATTCATCTGTCAACACTTTATAAATCATTGTTACTTGTTTATTACAAATTAATTAAGGATGAGAAATAGACAAAACTGTCTTTTTTTTTTGCCAAATAGTGAGCTGAATCTATTCATGTTCATATTACATCTAAAGGTGCAATATTAAACATTTCAGACTAGGCTATTACATTGTAAGCACAATAATGATTTAAAAACACATATACTATATTACTGTATAACTGCATTATACATATCCACAAAAAAAAAAAAAAATCAAAGGCCTTATTGTAAAGTGTAGGACAGTAGGTACACTATTTATTAATGACAAATAAACTTGCAATAAATGCCATAAGGGAGCCTTATACAGTATTTGCTCTACCATTTTATACTTTACAATAAGGCTTCCTTATGGCTTTCATACATGTTTATTAGTCATTAATAAACAGTATGCTGTTTTACACTTTGCAATAAAGCTCCSTTTGACATTTGTGGATATGTATAAAGCAGTTCTATATTATATGTAAAATATGTGTTTCCAATACACTATTGTGCTTACAAGGTAGAAACCTTTTGTTCAAGTGTTTATATCTTTTGTCCTGAAACATGCCTCCAAAAAACACTAACTGCAGTCTAAAAGATTATATACAAAATTAGACATAACATTCACTTTTACTTTCACTTTTATTCATTTCATTTGTAGCACAAATTAACAAAGTACAAAAAACATGCAATCAAAATAAAATTTAAAACACCAACTCAAACAACAATTTGCATGAATGCACTTATACTTCTCCATATTTCTTCAGAATACTAGTTTTTATCATTCTCTTCAATATATACAAGGATCTGCAATTTTAAACCTCATCTTCCATGCTGTTCCACAATCTTATTCCCTGGATTAAAGTGGATCGCTCCTTCAGGCTCGTACGAAACCAAGGTTTCACAAACATTCCCATCCCTTAAGATAATAACAGCTCTCTCTCTTTTAACAAAATATACTTGAATGTTGTAAGGTAACGCTTTTATGAGCTCTGTGCATCAACATCAAAACATTATAATCAACCAAATCATAGAATTTTAATAATTTCAATTCATAAAACAACATATTCGATGGATGGCTGAATTTTTCAAGTAATAATTCTTAGCTCTTTTCTGTAAAATAAAAATAGGATTTGTGATAGTTTTACAAGCTTTACCCCATACTTCAATACAGTAAGTTAAATGTGGAACAATTATAGCATTATACAACATAAACAGTGCTTTATCATTGAACAGTTCTCTTACTTTGTACAGGACACCAAAAGATTTGGCTATTTTTGTTTTTAAACCATTTATAGGCTTTTTCCATGTCAGTTTTTCATCAATAATGACACCTAGAAACTTCACTTCACTGACTCTACAGATCTCAGCATCATCAATTTTAAATGAAACATCTATAGTTCTCTTATTGTTACAGAAAATCACATAATTTGTCTTGTCCAAGTTCAATGATAATTTATTTAGTTGAAACCAACTTTGCATTTTCACAAATTATGTCTGTACTATCTGCAACATTTGTTCTATATCATTACCGGAACAAAMTAATGTTGTATCATCAGCAAATAGAACACACAGAAAAAGTCCCGACACATTGACCAAATCGTTCACATACAAAATAAATAACTTCGGACCGAGAATGGAACACTGCTGCACTCCACATGAGATGTTACAAAACTCAGATCTTACATTATTTATTTGTACAAATTGTTTTCTATCTTCCAAATAACTAGATACCCACTATAATGCAGGTCCTCTAATACCATATTTATTTAGCTTTTCAAAAAGAATACTGTGGTTAATAGTATCAAACGCTTTTTTTAAATCAACAAAAATACTGACAGTATTGTTTTTGATCAACAGCAGTTGTTATATGTTCTATTAAGCCTATGAGCCATTGACACAGAATTTTTTGGTCTGAACCCACACTGACTGTTACTTAATATATTCTGCTTATCAATGAATTTGTCCAATCTTATCACAAACAATTTCTCCAAAATCTTTGAAAATTGTGGTAATTGTTGGTCTGTAGTTATTAAACACACATTTTCACCATTTTTAAGAGGAATTACCTTTGCTATTTTCATGTTGTTTGGAAATACACCAGCTGAAAATGATAAATTGCAGACGTATGTAAACGGTTCAATCACATAATTCATCATGTCTTTTACAAACATCATGTCCATGTCAACCCAGTCTTTTGATCTCTTATCTGCAAGATTTTTAACAATATTCCTTATTTCTTCTTTGCCAGTTTCATAAAGAAATAAACTATTAACACAACCTATAACAGTATGTTTGGGTTTGACCTAAATAATGTTTGAAGGATTATTTGAGTGAAATGTATTTCAACATTTTAAAAGCTGGATAAAATGGATATGATATACTTGTATACTTTTAGCATTAAACATTTTTTGGTCAATTACTTTTTTTTTTGTTTTCTAATAAAATGCCTTGGTAAGTTGCATCTGTAACTTGTGGATGACTGAAAACTGAGAAGAGCATAAGGTTTGGGCAAGCAGAGCAGAGTCTAGAGCAGTGGGACTACTCGACTTAAGCCAAATACATATTTATGAGTAGCATCCACCCACAAGCATGACTTTTCAAACCTAGCCAAGCTCAGGAAGGCATGCCGGCATACAACCTGGGCCAGAATAGGGCAGGCTGATTGGGCCAGAAGCAGCAGGGGTTTGGATTACCACTCAACTTTGTTTATGTGCTATTGTGTCCATTCGATCCGGACTCTACTATCCAAAACAAAATGCAAAGATTTCTAGAAATACTTATAGATGCAAGATGAGATCCAGTAGTTTTTGTACAAATGTGAATAAGATTAAACAAAAACATAAAAGAAATTGGGAAAGCCCTCATCCTATCAATAATTAAATAGGTTCCACTTATAAGTGTGTTGCTTCCTTGTATTTTCCTTTTCAAGGTCACCGTCTGCATTCTCAAGGCTTGCCAGCCAAAGTGGGGAAAAGGAGCAATGTGCTCCGATGGTCGTGACTTGGAAGAGTGGTGCAGTAGGTCAGATATTGACAGGCCCATTCAGTTTGGCTAGAACAGCCACAGTATGGTCTCCTTCACATAGTTCTTCAAGGCTGTCTTTAATCTCTCCCTGTGCCTCCCAATCCATGCCTTTGATGTGGTGATGCCCTTCCTTCGCTTACTCAATATTTGATCTATTTCACTTCTTACAGCCAAATCCAGTTGAAGTGTATTCACAAAGGGGTACACCCTGTTTTTCACCATCTTCCCACTCTTTCCCTCCCATGTTCAGCAAAATGATCACCAAACCGAAAACCAAAAAAATCCATTTTATCGGCCATGTAACACAGAGTCCGTGGATGTCTTAATTGAAAACAAGAGTCAGTGGTGTTTTTCTTTACAAGTGCTCTACAAACCTATGTAAAAAATACAAAACAAAACCAAAAAACTTGTCATGTAAATAAACTTTAAAAAAAGGCCTGCTGAGTCTGTGTGCACATGCAATAACACACACCGAAAACACACACTGCACCATCCTAATAAAAGTCAACCAGCTTCAGTGCTCCCGCCCACCGTGTTGAGCCAGAGGTGTAAGTATCAGCTAACATCTCCTCCCTGCTTGCACCCACAGATGAGCCTACGATGTAGAAACAAGATCCAATATTAGTGCCTGTTTACCTCAACTGGAGACACAACACATGTCGTGTGGGAAGGTAGACTTTATTGTCAGCATGAAAAAGCAGTGGCTGTATTTCCATAAACATTAACAACACCTGCTTCACAGTCAAATAGACTGATTGCTGAAAGCACGGTGGTGGATCAAACAGTCTGCAAGCAATCATTGACTTACTTTGTGTGAATATAATTACTGACTATAGTGGTGCACAAGATGATGTCATGAAACAACCTATGTGCTTTTGCTGTGACTTCTTCCCATCAGACTGGCAAAAAGACATCCACCATATGGCCTTGTCTTCTGCATCTTGTTTCGGAATAATCACAAGACTGGAATATGACAGCAATTCTGTGGAAATAATATAATATTTTCAAAATTAAGGGTAAATAAAATGTATAAATCAGCAGAGAGGTCTACCTATCACAACTGGGCCATCCCTATCCTTCTCAAACCAACAGATAAAATTACAGCAGCACAACACTTTAATGTGTAAYAAACACACAGAAATCTCACAACACAATTTTTATTACTTAATAGACCAGGTAAAATTATTCTCATAAAAACACATAAAACAAGAGCAGAGCAAAAATTTGTCAATGTGCAAAAACTAAAACATGTGTAACACAATATACAGCAAGTATGTGTGTGTTTGTGAGTGTGTTTGAAGGGAGAAAAAGGGACAAAAACAATGAATAACCACAACACTGTAGTACAACCAACCTGACACAATGAAAAGACTTGTCACCTGATAAGCGGAACCGAGTAAGCTCACACAGAGACAGTTTTTCAAAGAGAAAGTGTTTTTTTTTACAGGTGCTGTATCGTTTGGACCCAGGGCTGAGGGGAAAGCAGAACGAGAGGTAAGTAACAGTTCCAGAAAGTCTTCACTTAGGATAAGTAATGAATGATTGGTTAGTTTTTCTTCTTACAGGTTTTGGTGATCTCAGTCCGGCACGACCAGGGGAAATCCAACAGAGTGTCTGATCTTCAGCAGAGTGACCTGGAGTCCAATACAGATGAGTGGCACAGTGAGTTCAGTCCTTTGGTGGCAGTGCAGGTGGTAAACGTGGTGAAACTTCCTTGTGAGCATTGTGGTTAAAAAGTGACAAAGCTTGGTCCTGGGCAAGAACAGAGATTAACATTACAAAAGCGATGACTAGAATACAAAAATCTGTGAGGCTTACTAACTACCAAATTGCAATGATGCATCAGCAAAGACCAAACGTGGAGTGAGCCTTAAAAAGGATCCTGAGCTTGATACCAGCAACCACCCGCAGCTGACATCAATCAGGCAGAGGGAGCTCCAGCAAAACACCAATTGTGTCACAACCCAACAAAACTTGACCAATACATAAATAAATAACCTTCCCAGTCGACCAGGTACTGGAAACCTCTACCTCTTCTCCTGACATCCAGGATGCGCCTAACAGTATAGGCAGGATGGTTATCAATAATCCGGGCGGGAGGGGGGAGGACGGAAGGAGGGCTGAGAGAACTCTCCAGCACAGGTTTAACCTGTGAAACATGAAAGGTGGGGTGGATTTTCATGGAGGTAGGTAAAGTTAGACGGATAGCAGATGGATCGATGATGCGTTCGATGGTGAAGGGCCCGATGAATCGGGGTGCCAGCTTTCTCTGTGTATCTTTAAGTTGGATGTCTTTGGTGGACAACCAGACTCTTTTGCCAACTTGATACCGGGGTGCTGCCGTTCGCCGACGGTCAGCAATCTTCTTGTTCCGATCTGCTGTGCGTAGCAGGGCCTGCTTGGTCTGTCTCCAAATCCTACGGCACCTGTGGAGATGAAGCTGGACTGAAGGGACAGAGATGTCAGTTTCACAACTGGGGAACAGTGGTGGGTTATAGCCCAAGGATGATTCAAATGGTGACAGTTCTGTGGCAGAAGATGTGTGAGTGTTGTGGACATATTCAATCTAAATCAGGTGGGTGGACCAGGTAGAGGGGTTGTCATTTACCACACAGCGGAGAACGGCCTCCAACTCCTGGTTGCAGCGCTCGGTTTGGCCATTGGATTGGGGGTGGTATCCAGACGTTAGACTGACTGAGGCTCCTAAGGTGTTGCAGAAAGCCCTCCACACCTGTGAGACGAACTGGGGTCCTCTGTCGGAAACAATGTCACTGGGGATTCCATGGTTACGAAAAACAACTTCAACAAGACATTTTGCRGTTTCCAAAGCAATGGGCAGCTTGGTGAGTGAGATAAAATGCACAGCTTTGGAAAAACGGTCAACCACTGTCAGGACTACAGTGTTACCCTGTGATGGGGGAAGGCTGGTAACAAAATCCAGGGCAATATGGGACCACGGCCGACCCGGAACTGGTATAGGTTGTAGAAGTCCACTGGGGGGTCGATTGCTTCCCTTAGCTCTGGCACATGTGGAACAGGCAGAGACAAACTATTTTATGTCAGCAGACATATTAGGCCACCAAAAATATCTCCTGGCTAAAAACTGCATAAGAGAAGCACCAGGGTGACATGAAAAAGGACTTGAATGCAACCAGTCCAACACTTTAGTTTTAAATGTAGATGGAACAAACAGTTTATCCTGTGGTCCTCCACCTGGATCGGATTCGGTCTTCTGAGCGTCCAAAATGTCCTTTTGAATGGCCCAGGTTGGAGAGCCCACAACACAGGACTTTGGGATGATGTTTTCTTCCACAGGGTGTTCTGAAACAGAAAACTGACGGGACAAGGCATCTGGTTTGACATTCTTAGAACCAGGTCTAAAAAGTGATGATGAAATTAAATCATCCAAAAAATAGTGACCACCGTGCCTGACGAGGATTAAGTCTCTTGGCTGTGTAAGACAGGTTTTTATGATCAGTCCAGATGATGAAGGGCTTTTCTGTACCTTCTAGCAAATGACGCCATTCTTCCAAAGCTAGTTTAATAGCCAGGAGCTCTCTGTTACYGACATCATAATTTCTCTCCGCTGGTGACAATCGGTGGGAGAAAAAGGCACTTGRGTGAGTTTAACGATCAGACTCAGACCTTTGGGACAGGATCGCCCCCACGCCGGTATCAGAAGCATCTACTTCTACTAAGAACTGTTTGGCTGGGTCAGGGTGTTTGAGGATGGGTGCAGAGACAAACCATCCACCAGCAACCACCCGCAGCTGACATCAATCAGGCAGAGGGAGCTCCAGCAAAACACCAATTGTGTCACAACCCAACAAAACTTGACCAATAAATAAATAAATTAAATAAAAACAATTAAAAAAAACAATTAAAAAACACGAAAGATGATGTTTATTAAAAATATTTCATTAAATTACTTTTTAACATAATTTGTTTTAAAGAATTTATATAATTAAATAAAGACCTTTCATGCTGTTAGATGATAACCTCTTTATTTTTGCTTATTTCATTTTCCCAGTTTTTAATCAGCAATGTTTGTTACAAGCAGTCAGTGCTCAGTAGATCATTTGAGTAACTTGCAGATTTATGGACAAACAACCAATGATTTCACAGTTTTGTTTATTTTGCTAGATTTTCGTAGGCTTATGAAATAGTGTTTTTTTGTTTTGTATATTCTTTATGGTGAATCAACCCATTCTCACTCCCATGTCGTCACATATTGACGCTTTTCCAAGGTTCCCTCTACGTCCGATTTTGACGCGCCGGGTAACCCCGTCACGTCAGTTACTGACGAGATGGGGCGAAATCTGTTGTCATATTTTCAGAAAGTGTAGAAAATGCGCAAAAACTRCCGTTCCAAAGCCTGAAATTACCTTTGTTCACTTTAGACATCCTGTCCCTGAGCCTAGTACCTAAAATTAACCATTTTTAGAAAATGTAGGAAATTCACGTCAACATGTTCCAAAGCCTAAAATTACGTAATATTCACCATGGACAGCCTACCCCTGATCCCAGTACCTAAACTTAACCATTAATCCTGATCCCTCATGTTAACCTCAGACCCCCGACCCAAAGACCCCTGGTGGCGCAACCCGGAAAAGCCGCGGGCGGCAAGGACTGACGCGAGGGGGTCACCTGATGCGTCAAAATAAGATGCAGAGGGAACTTTGGAAAAGCGTCAATATGTGACGAGTCGGGAGTGAGAATGTGTTAGGTGAATATGCAGATTTTTGATCACCTGTTAATTAATTGTGATAGGAAATATTACCAGGTGTTCGGTGTTGTTTTTATCTTATTTGTATGTGGTTCTTAAGCCACCCTGTTAAACGAGAGCAGAAGGCTTCTGAAGCCTTATATGGAAGGGCTGATTGTGGGATGTTCCATTTCCACCTAGTGTTTGTCTTTGTTATATCATATTTAAGAAGGAAACCAACTGCAGACGCAACCAGTCAATTTGATGATGACATGATTTGTTCATCGATTTGGATACTGGTAAATGTTATGTGTAGATTTGATTATTTGTACTTTGTGATTGTGAATGAATATCAATTAGTGTTTTTTATTGTATTTTTTTTCTGTAGGAGGAGCTTCTGGTATAAAGCTTGGAGAGGAAGCTTCCTCGTGAGGATTGTGTAGTTTGTGCTCAGGCACAGAACACTGGAGCCTCATAGCCTGGAGTCTGGTGTTGCCTTATATATTTTGTTAGGTTTTTTTTTACATTGTAAATATTGGGTGTTTCCCCACAGATTTTTGGGCTTTTGTAACTTTTTTTTATAATCTACATCCTTCTGCACAATGCATTTTTACTTAACTGGGTGTAACAAATAAAAAAAGGCAGAAAAGAGAAAAAAAAATCACACCACCAGTTGAAGCATGGTCTTCAATTCAATTCAATTCAAATTCAAAAGTACTTTATTGATCCCAGAGGGAAATTAGGTAAATTAGGTCTTGAATCTCTCTTTAAATGTTTGGCCAAATCTTACACTCCTGAATCAAATTCAACCAATATACTGTATATAATTTTCAGTTGCTAACCAAACAGATGAGCTGAGGACTGAAGGAGCTCCACATATTTGAGTGATTATGTTTATATTATTTTATTTTTAACAAAGTTATTTTTTAGCTCTCATCTTGAAAAGGTGATCATTATGATTATTGTGACAATTCAGTTTCTGTTTTGATTGTATCTGGAGGTGGTGGATTACATTAGCTATGCCTCCAAAGTAGAAGTTTCCAAAATTTGCTCGTTTGAAATTGGTCACTGAGTGTCCTAGAATACTTAAACAAGTTTAAAGAAAATGCTCATTAACTACAACTCCAAATCTGATTGTAAGATCTATCCAAACTAACTTTATGATTTACTTTGTTTAAAGGGTCTGATGATTCTCATAATACCTTGATAGAAGAAATTTTGCCCAGATGTTGCATACAAAAATCAAAAGTTGATTACTTTTTTCCAAATACGAAGCTGTAAAAATATAACAAAATAAAAGCATAAAAGTAACAAAATCATTTCCTTTCTTTTATAATTACAGGGTATTCACAGTCACCACTGATGAACTTTCTCTCACAATGTGATATTTGGATAAGTATGTTTTGTACCAAAAAAAAGAAAGAAAACTACAATACAAACAATCACTTAACAAACAACTACAAACTACATTTTTTGTGAAATGTGCCTCAGATCAGTGAGGTGCTTGCCTTCTTACTCCACAGTAATCAGAGAGTCCTCATTACAGAGCAAAGGGGTTGTGTAACACTGAAGCAAAACCCTCAACTATGCTGTCCTACATTAGTTCCACTTAGTTGGGTCCCAATGACCTATTCAATGTAAATGCACTGAGCAATAATGAGTGGTGGACTGCAGTGGCTCTTTAATGGTTGAGTATGTTCAGGGAGAGGAAAATGACAAGGCAGAGGGAGAAATGGGTTCGAGGCCTTTCAGGATCAGGTTATTCAAGGAGGGTAATGACGAAGAAGTAAATTACTTTAAAAGAATAATTAGGCTGAGATGAAAAGAAAGCCAGTCATGTCTCAATAGATACACCTTAGGATTCATTCATATAAAACAGTGTTGAGCTACCWCTCAGAGCACATGGTTTATTAGAGTGTTGTGACAAAGGGAAACAAGGAATGAATATATGTGAAGCTGTAACATTGTAATGATGACAAAAATGTGTCAAAGGTGCACCTGTAAATTGTTCGGTCACACTTTAAAGCTATCCTCAATGCTCAGATTT